AAAAAAGCGTGCGGGACGCGGGAAAATGCATTAAAAAGCGGGGGTGTCCCGCCAAAAGCGGGACGTCTGGTCACCTTATGGAAGCGTCTCGTCTAATGAAGAGAAGGACTAGGGGTGACATAGTAGCTGCGTTCTGGTATTGGAGAGGCTGCCACAAAGCAGAGGAGATCAACCTATTCTGAAGGCAGAATAAGAAGCAATGGATGGTGCGAGACAAGGAAAACTGAGCCTGAATCTGCTAAAATTATATAGGTCTCAGAATGGTGGTAGGCCTCAAATGAAATGATATACATCAGCGTTTCAGATAGAGTGATTTCCTAAGGATAATGAAATATTTCTAATCTGCTGTGCTAGCGCAATGCTGCAATATGAATCTGCAAGGTAGATAGCTTCAGCATCTATTTTTGACTAGGAATATTAAAGATGTTGAGAAAGAAGGAAATGAAAGTAGCAGAAGGCAGAGGGTTTCAAATGTACTAGCACCAGAGGTGGTATTCAGGAGGTTCTGCCCAGTTCTGGAGAACCGGTAAATGGTTCACTTCTCACCCAAGAAGCTTTTTCAGCTCTCCTGAAGGTTCTTCCCCACCATCCAGTCAGAGCTGCAGAAGCTTCTTGGATGAGAAGCGAAACGTCTTCCAAGAAAACCAGAAAGTCCAGTTGCCTCTTGAAAAAGCACCTTCGGGACATTGCCCCTGGTCTTCTTATGCTCATCACAGCTGCAACTTTCTGCCTCAACAATTCCTTTAACAAACTTTCCCAATTCCAGCCTGACTCCTTCACTAACATACCGCATCCCCAAGGTTGGTAGTCTTTTATTGAAAGTGAATATGCAAGAGTACTACAGTAAAAGACTTTATGACTAAGTGGACAAAAATGCATATAATGTCGTGCTGGATCAGCGGGAGAAGATGTGGCGTAAGGGAGCGAAATTCACTTTGAACTATCATTTGAAAGAGAATTTTTTACAAGTTGATGTATCTTTGGTGTTTAACCCCTGTTAAATTGTCCAAGATGTATAATGGTACATCAAACAGGTGTTGGAAATATAATCGTTCTGAATGCACCTTTGATCACCTTTGCAAAGTTATATTGCTATCTTTTTGTATACTTTTTTTTACTATTTTTTATCTGATGGTCATTTTATTTTTACNTCAAAGCCGAAGAGCCAGCGCTGTCTGAAGACGTCTCCGTGGTCATGTGGCCAGCATGACTAAACACCAAAGGTGGTCCCTATTTTTCTACCTGCATTTTTATTGCTAGGTTGGCAGAAGCTGGGATAAGTAACGGGAGCTCACTCCGTTACGTGGCGCTAGGGATTTGAACTGCCGAACTGTCAACCTTTCAGATCGACAAGCTCAGCATCTTAGCCACTGAGCCTTGTGACCCATAAATGTATAGATGCACTCATGTATAAGTGTCACTTAATAAAGAAAAACATGAAAAGCTACGACAATTTCCTCCAAACTTTGGAAGAAAAAAGCATATACAAATATATAAACCTGAATAGGAGAATAAAAGAAAAATAAAATGTAAAGAGCAATCTAAATGGGCTCTTACATATTCAAAACCTGTATATTTTATTCAGATCAGTTTATTGTATCTGTACAAAATGATGGTAGTAAAAATCATGGAATGCAAAAGCTAACCATAATACTTAAATGAATTTGTTAATTAAAAGTCTATCCTGGGTATTTATTTTGTTTTGTTCCAATTAGTGCCATAGCTAATGAGCGACCTCTTGTGTTAAAGTTTTAAAACTATGCTTTCAATAACCATATTAACAATGAAAAAAAAAGGCAACAGGCTGAAATCAACAACTTTGCAACTTGTTAGTGCTGAATCTAAACTAAAATGGTTTGATCTTTTGCTCAGATCTGATTATTCATCACCTGTGAAAATATATCCAATTTCATTACACTACAATTCTCAATGGTTTGTTCAAATGCTGGTATTCCAAAATTATCTTCTCGCTATTCTTAGGTTGCTCCTACAACATTGGCAAGAAACATTTTATTTCCTCCTTAACTGAAACCATTTTTTTTTAAAAGAATGCATTGGTGAAAATAGAAGAAATGGCTACAAATATAAGATTATGTTGTCTGGACCCATTTCAAGAAATTCAGGGGGAGGTGGGGGAAAAGAAAAACAAGATGACCAAGAATTGCCTGATAGCGTATGTTACACACTTCCTAAAATTGCTGCCAAAATGTGCAATCTATGTTTTAGCTTAGATATTCAAGAACTTTTAAGTTTCTACCCAGTTGACCCTGAAGGCTATGAATACCTCTTATATTTTGACCCTAACTTGAGTCAACGGTAAAAGTTATACCAACAATGTAAAGAAATCTTTGTCCTTTTTTCCTTTAACTGTGTTCAGAGGCGTAATTTTTTTCTGCAGTATCATCTCAATGCCATGGAACTACACGAAACCAACTTGGGCCATGAACAAATCATCTGAAGATTAATAAACAATTTGATAGGGGACAGGGAGGTAACTTTCCATTGCAGCAAATATTTCTAAACAATTGTGAATTGGATTTATTTAGCCCTAAAATTGCTTTAGCTCTTAGTAACCGTACATGAACAATGTTCTTTCCAGGATCATATTTCTTTTTCATTAAAGAATATTATCTAAAATGTTCAAAAACTAAATATACATAAACATATAAAAAATAAGTATTTTTTTGCAAGAGTAGGAACATGATTTTTTTAAATTTCATCTGCCCAATAAATGTCACTCTTGTCTTTGAGATAACCATGCAGAGATTGTGGCAGGGTTCTTTATTGAAAAGCAAAAGCAGATTTTTATTATGAGAAGCAGCAATTTAATAAATTTATTACCTTATTATGCGTAAACATTATCCTCAGTTCTGGTTTTATAATGCCATAGGCCATCAACAGCTTCTGAGCTTTTTTTATTTCTTCCTTACATTTCTTATCTGTAGAATAAAACTGTTTTCTTACAGGCAGATTCTTGAACAGCTTTTGAACTGTTACAGTTGTCCCTACCAAGAAGAGCAACGGAGAAGAAAAGCAATGAAAATTAACTTACAGAGACGCTCTTTCAATTCTATTAATCTATCCTTTTATTCCTTTAAACTGTGTGATAAGTACCTTTAATGACAGCATCTACAGACTTTGACCTTGGCTGCATCAATCAGTTCTGACAATAATTTGTCCTTTTAGCTCTTGAAATTGAGAAATATCTAAATAGTTGTAGTCAAGGTATATCAAAAACAGCCATGGTACTGCAGTGATTAGAATGCAGTATTGCACAAGCTAACTCTGCTCATTGTCAGGAGTTTGATCCTGACCAGCTCAAACCTTCCAAGGTCAGTAAAATGAGGACCCAGATTGGTGAGGGCAATGTGCTGACTCTGTAAAGCACTATGAAGCAACATACAAATCTAAGTGCTATTGCTAAAAGCTGTATTATATCAGCAAAGTTAAAAAACACAAGCAATAACAATGCAAATAAGCAGAGATTCTCAAATTTTGCAATCTACAAGTTATTAAAATGTCAAAGAAGACTGACCCTTTTCATCACTTTGATGCCATAAATTTTGAGATTTTTCCCTAACTAAAGTGAAACCCCTCAAGAAATGCAGTGGTTCTAGAATGTAAACAATACTTTAGAGCACTGAACACTAAGACAACTAAAAACAGTTTTTCCCCGAACATCATCACTTTGCTAAACAAATAATTCCCTCACCACTGTCAAACTATTCACCAAGGCTGCATTACTATTACTATTAGTCTTCTCATCGTTCCTATCCCTCCATCTCCTCCCACTTATGACTGCAGGACAGTAACTTTGTTGCTTGTATCCTTACGATTTTTATTGATATTGTTTTTTGATTGCTTATTTGTACCCTATGACTACCATTAAGTATTGTACCTTAGGATTCTTGATGAATGTATCTTTTCTTTTTATGTACATTGAGAACATATGCACCAAAGACAAATCCCTTTTGTGTCCAGTCACACTTGGCCAATAAAGAATTCTATTCTATTCTATTTTATTCTATTTTGAACTGTGTGGCATTTCTTGGTAATTAAAAGGTAGAAAATTTGATTCTACTTGTTTTATTCAGAGAACTGAAAACATAAGAAGAAATAGTCAGATATTATTTTAAGTATGGGTCATAAAAGCACGAATACTGAACAATCAGCCTTGAGATCTCTTCCAACTCTACAATTTTGATTCCTACTTAAAATAATTATTTTTTGCTGAAACGGTATAGGGTTTCCTTTTGTCTGAAATGGTATAGGATTTCCTGCTTAGGCAGGGGGTTGGACTAGAACACCTCCAAGGTCCCTTCCAACTCTGCTATTGTATTGTATTGTATTTTTGTTATCTGAGACTAAGTCACTGAAACAATCAGAACTTGCTTTCCTCTTTTACACAACTTCAAGGGCACACCTGGTCCTTTGCTGTAGTTTTCCTTCTGAAATTTTCATTGCAGAATCCCTCATGTCTAGAATTTTATATTTTATGAAGAGTTATACATATTGAATGTATATGAATACACTTCATAAGTAAAATCTCAATTGGGTGTGTGTTTTAATTTTTCATGTCTGACTCAACTAGTTATTTTGAAAAAATCACAATTTTAATTATAAGTTCAAATTTTAAAATGTTATCCAACTGTTCTATTATCTGAAGCAGAAAATTCATGTCCCTGAACTAATACTCTAAAGATAAGAGGGACTAAAAGCCATACCTGTTCCAAGATGAGATGGCTTCTGAGAAATTATATGACCACTTCCATCAAAATTGTACTGGGTGCTAAAATCATCAGCAGCTGTCCTTGTTGTAACAGAAACCTAACAATAAAGAATCTAATGTCAAGTAAACAATTAGGAAAAGATATATGTACATTCTATTACCTATGTAATTCACACAAACCATGATGAAGATAATTATTATTTATTAAACTTGTACGCTCCTAAATCTCATCAACTCTTTGCAGCTTACAATATCATGATAATCAACAATGATTGTTCCTAGAAATGTAAAAATTATTCAGAGAATTCTTGACAGATACATCTTCTGCACATGTAAATAACTTGGAAAGGACTTTGACACAGCGTCTCTTGATCTTTAGGAGAAAATAATACTTTAATGTTTCAAGTCAAGTAATCCTCAAATTCCACACAAGATCTGATTGTTTTATGAGTCTTCTAGGAGCAGAAGCAATATGCTTCTAAATACCAACTTATAGAGAGCCAGCAATTATTATTTATCTTATAAGAAATATAGTTTTCTGCCTCTGAATAAAGATCTTTTAACATTCCTCTTCCATTTAGAACTGTACTGTACTTCAGTTTATATATAAATGTATTGCGAGATGGTTGTAAATATAAAAAGCATTTTTATGTTTGCCTTGTCATACTTAGATATACAATTCCATTTTTGTGCACTGTATTGTGTTTTGTTCATCTCAAATTTGAGAATGCCTTTGAAAATGAAGGGAATTGCAACAATGAAAACTACTCTGAAAATCTGACATACAAAAGAGCATTCACAGCCTGTCCAAATAGACCTAAAATACACCTTTAAAAAGTGTGTATTTTCAAAAAAAAAGCATGGTTGGATACTTGAGTACATGGCTTAGCTACAGCCTCTGTATTTATTTCAAAAGCCAACTTTCTATGTTGTGTTTAGCTTGCTAAGCATTTGCTGTTTATTAGACTCTGCTGATGCCAATCCATCCTATTGTGTGTGGAATTTTAAGAGTGGAGGGAGTAATAAAAAAAATTATGTTGATCTCATTTGGTTTGTTAAAACATTGGCACAAATGCACTTTGCCTATGATCATATTCCCTGTTGATGCACTTCATGATGCAGTTGCTATTTACCAATATTATTATTCTGGCCTCTTTGTGTGTTGATTTGTTTGCCGTTTGCTGTTGACTTTTATCTCTTTTTGTCCCACTGCCCCTTCAAATACTGTACTTTTTCTTTTTGACTTAACAAAGATTGTTCCTTTCTGTTCTTTGCTGAATTTTTTAAAAATGAAAATGCAGGTAGGGCATAATTAGTCTGAACCGAGCTGCTATTTTCTTATTTCACTAAGGTTCAGCAAGACTCATGCAGTAGCTATGTGCAAACTGCTTTTGTTTTGGCAAGCATTTATCAAAGTACCCCCCCTCCCCCCGAAAAACATGTTGAGTTGTAGAAAAAATGGATGAGAAAAAAGGAAGGAAGGAAGGAAGGAAGGAAGGAAGGAAGGAAGGAAGGAAGGTCTGGCCCTCTGGAACGAGCTCCCCATGGAGATTCGGACCATCACCACCCTTCAGGCTTTCCGCAAAGCCCTTAAAACCTGGCTGTTCCAACAGGCCTGGGGCTGACGAGTTCCCCGCCCCCACTCGAATTGTGTGGTTGTTGATTGTTTTTAAATTGTTGTAGTTGTTTGTCCGTTGTTTTTCCTCCTGTTTGTATTCCCCCCCCTTACTTTGGTTTGTAAGCCGCCCTGAGTCCCTCTGGGAATAGGGCGGCATAGAAATGCAATCAATCAATCAATCAAGGAAGGAAGGAAGGTCCAGTATATTGTGTGTATTGGGATTTTGTTCCTCCTTGAATTTCCTACCCTGAAAATAACTGAAAAAATATGGGAGATAAGCTGTGTGTTTTTTATTCATATTTTCTCAATTAGCATCTGATTACTGCAGTCAGAATTCAGCAGTGCCTTCTTGTCAGGATTTCTGCTTAACCACTGGGCAAACCCTGTATCTTCTTCATAAATTCACATCTCCTCCCCCCCCCCCCAAAAAAAAAGTTTAGGAGAATGGCATCAATAACTGGAATTAAAACAGCTGAGATTGAAATGTGTATGCTCAAGGTTCCTCCTTTTCATACATGTGTCGACTTTGAGGGCAGGGCTGTGACTATTATCTTGTCATTTTTGAACAGCCTCTACAGACACCGTACTTAGAAAGAAGTGGGACTGTACATGCAAACCCCAGCAGATACATTCTCCCAATAGACTATCTGTATTTTGGATACCTTAAAATCAAATGGGTTAATGTTTCATTTTTCAGAACTATAGCATCTGGGTTACAAAACAGACACAAAAGCCGATAACTATATTAGCCTTTTACCTGTGATATGCTACAAATGGAGCCCAGAGCTTCACCACGAAAACCATACGTGCTCAAACTTTCAAGGTCCTCAGAAGAACTTATTTTTGATGTGTAGTGCTTCATTGCCATCACGGGAACATCAATTGCCTTAATCCCATCACCATTATCTCGTACCTCAATCTTTTCAAAACCATAGTTCTCCTACATAAAGAAAACATTTATTAGTTTCAAGCGACAGAGAACATTTTATGGAGTTGTTTGATTCCAAGAACACCTTTACAGAAAGTGCAATTACCAATTAATAAGGGTCAATTCGGTTTTCTGAATCTGAAACTCTTATCATCAATATTTATTAATCAAGTAATTTATGTCAATTTTCCAACATAGGCAACTTTGGAATATCAGAGAGTCAATGGCTTGAACCCGCACCATCTTAAGATAGAAAAACCCTGCAGGTAAAATATGTGGGATCATGCTCTAATCTTTATAAAATAGTGGACAGAATTCTTGAGGAATGGCGTATTCAATAACTTGTTTGAAGTTATTTAAGAAAACGATACAGAATTACTGAATTGGCATAGTACAACTGCTTAATTCTAGAATAATGCTGCATTTGGATCCAAAGTGGGCGAAGGTAAGCATGGACACCAGGGGTGGGTTTCTCGCCCCGTTCCAACCGGTTCGGTTGGAACGAGGCCGGCGGCGTCCTCGCGCACGCGTGCGGCTGCTCCTGGAGGATCGCGCAGGCGCTGTATGAATCCTGCGCATGCGTGGAAGCGCAGAATTCGTCAAAACCGGGTAAGGAGCGGGCGCGGGCGCGCCCTTCGCCATTCCCAGAAGTTACTTACTTCCGGGTTCGGCGACCAACCGGTTCGCAGGGACCGCCACGAACCGGCTGAAACCCACCCCTGATGGACACCCACACTGTGTTTGTCAAGAGTCATTATGAAGATGGTAATGGCAGATCCTATCTTGCTGCACTATTGCCACTTCCTTCACTCAAAAAACTACTTTGAGGGCTGATGTGGTTATTATGTGAATGTAGGAAAAGGTGTGCCTCCTTTAAGGAATTGTTAAAAGTACAATGAAGATGCCCATGGGTGAGCAAAAGCACCTGTCTACTTCAGACACAAAAATTGCACACATGTAGTTTATTCAAATACCTGACCAGGGAACTCTTTAATTTGTATACATTATACTTTAGAGCCGAGGTAGCGCAGTGGTTAGAGTGCAGTACTGCAAGCCACTTCAGCTGACTGCTAACAGCAGTTCGACGGTTCAAATCTCACCGGCTCAAGGTTGACTCAGCCTTCCATCCTTCCGAGGTGGGTAAAATGAGGACCCAGATTGTGGGGGCAATATGCTGACTCTGTAAACCGCTTAGAGAGGGCTGAAAGCCCTATGAAGCGGTATATAAGTCTAACTGCTATTGCTATTATACTCATACCTAAACCATGCTATGTTTATTGAAATTAATTTGAATCCCAAATGCAATTTCTGCTTGACAGACTACAATCCCTAAATCAATTAAATGTTTGTCCTGCACCCCTCATCCATGACTGCAAACAGAAATAGAAACTATCAGCTCACAGTATATCCTTAAAGATTGTTAAGGTTATAAAACTTTCAAAAATCCTCTTTACTCTGAATTACCGGCGACTAAATATTCTATACAAATTTAACCTAATTGTACATATTGTTCAAAATGAAAAACGGACAAGTAACATAGTAAACCTGTTTGTCACTAGAAGTCCAAAATCTATATTTTCTTACTTTCATTTGTATTCTAAATCAGTGTTTATACCGCAAATCAATCTCATGTGTAAATACCTAATTTTATTTACCACATACACACAAGTAAGATGAGAAGATGGGTATTTTTAAATTAATTAATAAATACGTAAGCATTTCCTTTGTTGCTCTTTTTGGAAGGATCTACTCCCTTTACCTATATTTAGACTTTAAATCCTCATGAAGTTCATGGAAATAGCTGCCTTATAAATAACTAGATAAAAAGACAACTGACAGCACTCATATCTTTCAGAAAGATGGCGTCTCAGACTTCATTCCAATATAGCTCGAGGTCCTGAATTAGAATTGAGCAAATTTAGGTTCAACTCCAGAATGTCTTCTGAAAAATCATTGGACCTTTTATGACTTCTCTCACGACAACCTACTTCACAAGTTGTTCCAGAAACCTGGAAGCGCTAATTCTACTCAATGCTGTACTATCCTTCTAGAGGTAAAGTGAACTGTAAATAACTTCTTTTCAAATTACAATTATCATCATTCTATCATTGTATGCAACATTTTTAAAGAAAAGTGCTACCACCATTTAGTACTGTTAAGTCAGGTTTGGGGGAAATGAATATTGTAAAATATTTCTAAAATTTGATATCTCCCTCTGAAATCAATCTCTTTTTTATCTTTTGCAATTACAAAAGTCTTCAATTAAGAGTACAATAGAACCTCTGGTCACAAACCCTTCTGACCACAACCAAATTGGGTTCCGACCAAAAAATTCACATTTTTTTTTTCCTGTGGTTGATTTCCCCTTCTGCACCATTTTTCTTTTGTAAGCACCAAATTTCCAAAATTAGGTTTGGGTCACAACCAAATCGGGTTGCGACCAAAGTTATGGAGTGAATTAAGGCCGTGACCAGAGGTTCTACTATATTTAAGTGAAGCAAGTCCTAAAAAAATTAATGTTTCTCTATGTCATGTAGAAACATATTGAACAAATATTTTCAGTTAAAGCTACTCTCTGTCATTTTTGATTAAATAGCTATTCCCAGATATTAAAAACAACCTTCTAAGTCAAAAGTATAAACAATGAATGCAGTTATTTTTTCTAGATTAAAAGTAATATTTAACTATATGATTATTACCAATAGAAGACAATATTTGCAGCTAAGGGTTGAACTGTGTGGTCCTTGGTACTCTCTGAGCTTGGTTGTTTTCTTGCAGACATTTCAAACTAGGTCATGTTTTCTTGTAGATGTTTCATTAAAAAAATTAGGTAATATCAGATGTTACCATCAGATGTATATGTTGCTTATCTCTGAGGTGGATGTTTACTTAGGATGTTGTGGAGTGCTTTAGTTGGTTTGTATACTATGGTTACGCCATGTGATTGTAATAGTCTGTTGAGATGTTTTTGATACATGGTAGTGTTATCTTTATAACAGTTTATGTTGGTTGGGCTGTAGTGGTTGAGACATGTCCAGCTTCCCTCTATCTGCCATAGAACAGAATGTTCTACAGAAAAGCCTCAATTACAACACAGATGATGCTAATAATACATTATAATTCTACAGAGATTTAGAAGGAATTTAAAACCACAGGAAGTTCCATAGAGATCTAAGACAGCGTAAGACTGTCGTAGATCAGAAGATGAGAATGGAATCAACTCAAATCCAACATAGAAACTAGACAACCAGATCAAGAGAACTCTCAGTGACTTACCCAAAAAGAGGAAATCACAAAATGAGAACAGTGGTTGATGAAAAGCAGTGGACCTGTCCTTCTGTGCTTCTATGGATGCCTCAAAACACAAAACACAGACGCCACATGTACTTCTCTGCCCTATTGTATTGTTACCAGAACCCCCAACCTATACTACTACTAAATTCACAAAATAGTTTGGACTTCTCACAGAGGGAGGCAAATACTCCATCAACTCCCACTAGAGTATCTCCAAAGAATCAATAACCTGATAGATGAAGATGAAACCATGATTTCACAGTACTCTTTCTATTCAGAGATTTGGAATTAACAAAAGAATCCATGGAGCACTACTTACACAGTGCACCCGACCTAAATACATTCACCAAGATTGAAATCCCCAAACCATGAACTTCATCAACTCTGCTTGACTACATACTTTCAGTGAGATGGACAAATATGCCAACAAATCACCCATGGAGTCACTGCTTTCATGATTCACAACATGGATTGACTTCTACAATCCATATATCACCATCACCATCGATTCTTTTTGTGAAGCCCACAGGGCAGCAAGCTTCTTCCAATGAAGAAGAAAAATCTAGTGCAGCGATGGCAAACCTTTTTTGGCTTGTGTGCCATAAGGGGGGGGGAGCACAGGGTGGTTGTGCCGCACCAATAATGCAATGCGCGACCCCCCCGTGCGCATGCGAGGTGCTCCCCCATTTTTTTCATGCTTTTTTCGCCCTCCCCAGGCTCCAGAGGCTTTATAGGAACCTGGGGAGGGCGAAAACAGCCCCCCGCCCCCCCGGAGGCTTCAGTGACCTAGGAACCTGGGGAGGGCGAAAACAGCCCCCCGCCCCCCCGGAGGCTTCAGTGACCTAGGAACCTGGGGAGGGCGAA